AAGGTAAGTATGTTTATTCGAGGAACAAAAAATTACTTCCTTTTCTTTGAAACATATGTGTGACTTTTAATCATTGTCAAATTTATGAAATATATTTGAGTACATAAAAGGCTTAAGTAGCAAGACAAAGTAGACATGATTATAGGATTCGTAAAGAATATCTTGCGCATTTGTATTTGCAAAATAAATTACGAATAAAATTTATTAGTCGTCTGGATGTACTGACTGTGATATATATTCTATTGTTGATAATGCAGGTTGTATTTAGTATACGCATCTGTTTTATCTGCCGTAACTATTATTGATTTTCTGTGATCATGGACTGAACTATTTGACATAAGTTGACGTTTCGCAAGCAAACACTCGCAAAGTTCTCATGTCTCTTTTGAAATGATGATGAATAAATAGAAGAAGACAAAATGTTTCATTGACATGATGATGTGTAAGAAGGAAGAATTGTGGTTGAACTTTATGTTCTGTTGTTTACTTTTAAATCAAAGTGCCCAACAGAGTACTTTACGTTAATAGAATACAATTCGGGAATAAGGAGCTTAGGAATGGATACTAGTTGGTTTATTTTAGCCAGACAATATGTTGGACATAACTTCAAGTCGTAAGTTTCATGTGCAATAAGTATAGATGCGGTAGAAAATTCAGGTTAAGACCTTGCACTTTTTGAGTATTTTTTTTTGTATGCTGTATGTTATTGTTGTGAAGACTCACGCTAAAATTGGCAGCATCTAGATTTTGCATTTCTTAATGTATTTTTCATATTTTAAATTATGAATTTATATCTGTTGCAGCTCTCTACGAAGAAGAAAGCGAAACAGAAAGTATGTAATATGTCACATATAAGCATACAGTGTTGTAAAAAGTAATGCTTATTGATATTGTTTTTTTTTTTACTTTTATCATCTATAGTGGATTCTATGGAGAGTCACGGCTCCGTCGTGGCTCATCTTCTGTCCCAGGTGAAGATTGGTATGGACTTGACGAGAGTTGCTTTACCAACATTTATCTTAGAACGCAGGTCACTCCTTGAAATGTATGCAGATTACTTTGCTCATCCCGATCAATTTGTGAGGTAGTTTTAAATTATCTAATTTAATAAGACTTTAATACACATATATAATAGATCTATTTTTTTAATTCACCTTTTGCATAATTCATCTTTTTCATTTTTCTTTTTACATTGGAGAGAAAAAGAGAAAAGATGAACTAGGCAAGAAGTTTAGTTGAATAGAATAGACCTAACATTGTTGCATCTCTTTTGTAATAAGTTTTTGAAAATAATTCTTAAATTAGCATTGCAGATATGCCTACACCTCGGGAGAGGATGGTCCAAGTAATACGTTGGTACTTGTGCAGTTTTCATGCAGGACGTAAATCTGGCGTAGCTAAGAAGCCATACAATCCTGTATTAGGTGAAATTTTTCGGTGTCATTGGAACATACCTAATGTTAATTCTTTTGATAACGCTGCAGAGTCTAGTAGTAAATTATCAGATGGTCCTGTACCATGGTGCAGAGAGAATCAACTTGCTTTTGTGGCTGAACAAGTTTCTCACCATCCACCAGGTATAGGAATCTTTTTTTTTTATTCAAGCATTTTATTGAACTGTCTGTGTCATACGAAATAGCTCATCTAATTATTATATTGCTTGATTGCAGTTAGTGCATTTTATGCCGAGCATGTCGGAAAAAAGATCTGTTTCGGAGCTCATGTTTGGACGAAGAGCAAATTCCTGGGTTTAAGTATAGGGGTGCACAACGTAGGAAAGGGTTGGGTAAATGTGTTACAACACGGGGAGGAGTACGTTTTAACTTTCCCTAACGGTTATGGCAGATCTATTCTCACTGTACCGTGGATAGAACTAGGAGGAACTGTAACAATAAATTGTGTACAAACTGGTTATCATGCAACTGTAGAATTTATAACGAAACCTTTTTATGGCGGTAAACGGAATCGAATTACGTGTCAAGCTTTCCAAGCGGGAGATAAAAAGCCATTTCTTGTTATAAATGGAGAATGGAGTGGAGCGATGGAAGTGAAGACATTGGATGGTGTAAGTTAAAACGTTAGAATTTTAATGTTAATATTCATTGTTAAATGCTACAGTAAAACAGTGACTATTTGCATGTCCTATATAGTAAGCTACTGTGAATAACAAATATTAGTATACATTAACAAATATTATATAATCATTCATGGATGCAAATTTAATTATTGTTAAAACAATAAAGTATATTTGCAAATTTACATATGATAAGGCTGGGTATGTATTTAAAATATATGCCTTTTATTTAAAGAACAATATTTGTAAAACAATTTGTAAAACAAGTATTTTGTATTTTGTATTTCAAATACTAAGACAGTCAATTTTATTATTTGAATTACAAAATACACAAAAAATTTTTCAATCTTTCAATTTTAAATGCAAAATACTTTTATGTGTTCCGTTCAGATACAAAGTACAAAAATTTATATTGGAAGTATTGTGTTTTAAAAGTATTCATAAAAGTATTTCAATACGTGCCAATTCTGAATATTATATTCTGAACATATGAATATTATTAAACATCGCTTTGAAAATAGTATTTTTTCTCTTATTTGATTTATTCTTAATTTTTGTTTTTTTTGTTTAATTTTAATTTACATTTTTAATATTTTGTAATATCTTTTTTTTTTAACAGAAAAGTGAAATGTTCGCTGACGTGAGAGAACTTAGTACAGAAAGAAAATTAGTTAAAACAGTATGTGAGCAAGATGAATCTGAATCGCGAAGAGTATGGCGTGATGTGACAGTTGGCCTACGTATCAATGATATGGATAAAGCTACAGCGGCAAAATGCACAATTGAGCAGAAACAACGAGAAGAAGCGCGGCTTCGGAAGGAGAATAATATAGCGTGGCAAACGAAAGTAAGTGGACGATTTTTATTTGATTCTTTTCATCTATTGTATAATTGCCAACTATTTTTTTTTGTTGAACAGCTTTTTAAGGAAACCAAAGATGGTGGCTGGGTGTACATAAGACCTCTTATAGACAGAATACATAGTTCTAACGATCAATCGAATGTTACCTAACTGTATACGTGCGTATTACGTGACAATTTTAGATGCAACACAATACTAGAGGAAAAATCGTGGCCTACTGCCTGTAAGAATTATAACATCAGGCTTAATTCAGAAGACATACACTTTCACATTCAAGCGATTTTGGCAAATATTTTTATGCGTATTAGCCACTCTTAGTTTAATATAGGAAAGAGATAACGCAATATTATCTACTATTTTACTTTTCGTATCATATTTTAAGTTTCATTTAATAAAAACATCAATAATAGAATTTTTATGATATAATTATATCTTCTTTTTTTTATCCTTGGAGTAATCTTACACAGGTATCGTAAGTTTCAAGTTTATAACCACTTTTCAAATATGTGAAGTCATATATATATA